CTTTGTAAGGCAGGATCAGCAGCGGAGGTGTTACAGCTACAGCTCAAGTGTTACAACTCCTACAAAGAGCCAAGCCTCTTTGTAGGGCAGGATCAGCACTAGAAATGCCGCAGTTCTCGCTTCTTCCTCTGGATGGATGGTCTGCGATGGTCGGCTGAAGTCTTCTTCTTCTTCTCTATCTTCCTTGAAGGTCTGAGACGATCTGCCCCCAGGCTCTCTGGCAGGGCCTTATATAGGTGTAATAGCTTAGCTGTGATTGGTCCATAAAATGGACCAATCAGGAGCAGGATTGAAAATGGACCAATCAGGGATGGGCACCAGTTTTCCCTTGATTGACAGGTCCTCTAACGCTGCTCTACTGGAGCCTCTGGGGGAAGAAAGCTCCCTCGCTTGCCCCAACCTGCCGGGGTTTTTTTGCCGGCTGCTGCCGCCAAGACAGAAGTGGCAGATCCCCCAGGCCCTGCTCGGCTGAGCTGGCTGGGGTGCCACTTTTCCGGTATCACTACCACTTCCTAGTTCTGTGGCTGTGGGCTTCTCAGCCTCAGTTTTGTTATCTGTCCAGTGGGTTGATAATGATACCTGTCTTTACTTCATAACCAGAGTATTATTTAAACTGTTCAGAGGTATGAAAATAAATGTTAGCTTTTGCTGTTGACACTTTACAAAGATAAATGCTTAAGTTCTCGTCGTTCTCCAACAGCAGTAATAGCAGCTGCACGTGTAACATTTCTTGCTCAATTATCATGCTCCAGGACTATGTTAAATACTTGACAGAGATAATCTCCTTTTATCCTCACAACAGCACTAGGGGGTGGCTGCTGTTATTATCTTTATTTTTTAGAAGTGGAAATTAAGGTTTAAAAGATTGAGGGCTTCGCTCAAATGACTCAACTAATTAAGAAGTAAAAGACAGGATTTGAGCCAAGGCTGACTAATCCAAGAGTTTCATATGTAAATTTTGAATCAAATCCATAAATGCTGGGGAGACATGGCTTGGGACCCCTGCTTGAAGATGGCAAACTCTGAGCAGATTTCAGAGGAGAAGGAGCAAGAAGAGAGGGTGGTCTTCATAGAAATAGAGGAGATGTGCCATTAAAAAGACTTGGGAAAGAGGGATCTGTGCCAGGTCATAGAAAACCAGAAGGGGAAGAGTAAGCCAGGACGAGAGGATAGGCCAAGTCAAGTCCAAAGAGATCAGCTATGACAACTGTGACAGGAGGAACCTAGGGTTCCAAACAGAGGGAGAGCATAATAGTGCAACCACCACTATTTTGCCCCTTTTCCTTTTCAGGCAAATCTGGGATCCTATAATAATAATAATTTTCTTATAATTTTTCTTGAGTAGCCTGGAGATATTTCATCCTGGATCAAGCTCTATGGAAGGACATGAACTTGAGAAAGCATTCTTTTACCCTTCAAGAAATTTCTAGACACATAAGAAAAGAAAGCCTGCTGCAGTGGGTTCACAAGCCCTTTTTCTGCTCCCAGCCTCTCCCTAGTGCACTTTGGCCCTTTTCTGGGCCTTTTTGCTCCATGCTTTCCATCAAGTTCTCAGCTTCATCTTCCTTCATAACCTGCACAGAAAACTGTAGTAGGGGGTTCCTAATGCTCTGCCACAGTGGATGTTTGGGAAAAAATTATCTGCTTCTATATATGTAAGCAACAAACAAATAGGAAAGTAAAAATTTGTACCATTTATAATAGCGTAAAAACATGAAATACTGAGGTAATTTTAACAATGTATATATGAAACATATACACTGAAAATTATGAAACATTGCTGAGAAAAATTAAGGAAGATTTACAGCAATGAAGAGATATACTATGTTCATAGATGGGAAGACTCAAGACACTGAATGGAAATGAAAGATGCTACCTTTTCCACCTCACTTCTTTTCCCCTTTTTTCCCCTCAGAAAGTTATTAGAATGGCTCAGGGTTACCAGAGCCCTTGAACAGTACATGGATTGGGAGGAGACCTGGTTTCTCTACCCACCCTCGGCCTTACCTACTTTTTCACCTAAATGAAAAGTTCAGATTCAATGACTGCTAAAGCTCCTTTCCAACCCCAAATGTCTGGGACAGTAGTCCCTATTTGAGGTTGTGCTCATTTTTATGAGATGTGTACACTCTAAAAGAGCCAAGCCTATGCCTCATCTTCCCAGCCTGCACCCTCCCTCCACAGCCCTTTCCACCCAACAAAGTCCTGGGCAGTTCTCAGAGCAGTGGATCACCCTGGAATGCTCAGCCTCAGGCCCTATTACCCTGCCACTGCAGCCTACAGAAGTTGTCCTGCTCAGCACCCTCAAACCTGGGGCCTGGGTAGTCTGGAGGCAGATGAAGGCATCTGTCCTCTGTCCTCTGTCCTCAAGGCCACCCTGCAGCCTCTGGAAACAGACTCAATGAAGACCTTACTCATGCTTTTAAAGCCAGGGTGGAGTGAAAGAAAAGAGAATCCTCAGAATATTTTTTCTGAGTTATTTTAAGCCACACCTGCCATATCTGTATACCATACACATGACTTAACTTTACCCAACAGAAGCTACCATCTGCCATTTAGGCCACTCTGGCCAGTCTATTTCCAGGCCCAGAGGCCCAGCCCCCTGGTAGCTCCATCGGGTGATGGGGTCTTTCTGAGGGAGGGGCTAACATTGTTCTCACACCCACAGGAGACAGCCACTCAACTGGGACATCCTCAGAAGGGCTCTGAAGGGCTCCTGGGTATAGGAAGAAGAGAAAGACCCTTTATTTGCTGAGTATGATGGGACTGCTCTGATGGGAGGGGATGCTCTGTTAGACCATGTCATAGTCCTCCAGACACGCCCCAGATGTTCTCCGGGAGCCCTGTTGAGAGTGCCCACAGGTAGTGTATGACTTCAAGGAGCACAAGAGACCATAGCCTCTGTGGGGCAGTAGACAGCCTGGGGGGTGCTCAGGGGCTTAGCTGGTTTGCCCTAAGAAGTAATCTCAGGTCAAAGCTCTTGTCAGAAAAGAGCAGGGTAGTCTATAGGAAAATGCTTCTTAAAAAGAGTGGGTTTTTCCTGAAAAAAGAGAGTTTTCCCTAACCCCGTACTCCCTCTCCAACCCTTGGCAATGCCTTAGCCCCCAAGTCTGATAAATACCATGTCAGCACCTCATACCCCACCCCCCTTGATGCCAGGGCTACCCCTGTTCCATTGTTCCATAGGCAAACACACGGGACTTTCCTCAGGGAGACAGACTTTCCCTGTGGTTACCCAATTTCACCAAGGCTTGACATTACACAGACGCCACATAACATGAATTGCAAATGAAGTTTATTGTGCAGACACCCAGACCATGACACTTCCAAAGGCAGAGTGGGCTACAGGAGCTATGTACACAGGTCCCCTGGGCACTGCAGGGTGTCCTCGGACAAAATCTGTCTGGAAAAGGACCACCAAAGAGGCAATGCAAGGAGGGAGGTGGTGGTGGGGAGGGATTGGGGCATGGCTGAAAGCACAAACCTAGACAATGTGGATTCTTCCCCAGAACACAGTGGGTGTCACTGCTCTCATTGATTTGGAAAGACCTTCCAAAAACTGTATGTGGGCATCTTTTTGCCCCAACATGCCATCAAAGGTAAATAACAAAATTTGACCTGCTGTCAGTTAGAGGTACAGAGACAGGCTTCTACATTCTGGAGTGGAAGAATCAATGGACCCCATCTTTATCTAGAGGAGAAGGTCACACTGGAAACAAACCCTTCACCTGAGCCACTCTTTACCGAGCCAGAGCCTCCTCTGGAGCCACCTCCAGAGCCATAGCCTCCTCCAGAGCTGGAGCCTCCTTTGGAGCCACCTCCAGATCCATATTTCCCTCCAGAACCACCTCCAGAACCATGGCCTCCCCCAGAGCCGGAGCCTCCCCTGGAGCCACCTCCAGAGCCATAGCCTCCTCCACCAGAGCCGTATCCTCCTCCAGAGCCAGAGCCTCCCCTAGAGCCACCTCCAGAGCTGTATTTTCCTCCAGAACCACCACCAGAGCCGTATCCTCCACCACCACCTCTGGAGCCCGACCCTCTGCCTCCAGAGCCATAACTGCCACTTCCAGAGCTGTAGCCTCTTCCTCCTCCAGAACCAGCACCTCCAAAGCCAGCTTTGGAGGCCACATTTGAAGAAACGGTGGTGCTCGTCACAGCTGCAGAGAGAGACAATGTTAGCACGGAAGTTTCAACTGCTCCCACCTGCCCCCCCCATGCAGTGGGCCATACTCCCCACTACTTACACACGGTTACACTGCTGCTGAGGTCTTCAGACATCCTGTCAGGGAGAGAGAGAGAAATGACGAGGGTCAGGGCACCTGGGCTCTACAAACATGTTGTCCAACAACTTCCACTTACAAATGTGCAATTTAGCCTCTAAAACCAGCCACCGGGGCCTTAGGGAGCCAACCTCTTCATGCATCTGTCACATTACAGGCCAGGTGACAGACCCTACACTTAGGCACCACCTTGCACCTCAATCCATCTGTTTTTTTCTCCGTTAAACAATGAAGAGTTGCATTGTCGATCCACAGTGAATGAAAATCAAATTTATTTCAGACTTTGCAACCCACTTTTATATTTAAATCCATCTTAGAGAGGCTGTTATTCAGAATCCAGGACATGCCAGAAATTATGCAATGAAGCTGCACTGTGAACATTCAGTTGGGAAAGAAGTGTGACTCTGTACAGCTCCCATTCCTCCCTCCCACCCCACCCTCCTCTGCTTCTGCTGAAAACCTTTCTCTTCCATGCTGCAGCCAGCATGCGTAGCCTGAGACAGGTGCTCCCTCCGTGTCTTACCGACCTGCTTATAGCCCAGGGCACTGTTCCCCTTCCAGTTGCTTCAGCCAGATTAAGTTACCAAAGATGCCCATAGCACTGGCAAAGGCCTCAAACAATCCCTCTTTAAGAGTTAGCAGGCTAGGGCTGGCAGCAGTTCTGATAAGCATATCCCAGCCAGTTGGCACAATTCCCTGTGTAGTCTCTCTCCTGCTCTGGGTCACACAGGGAGGGAGAAGGGGCCACTCACCGTGCAGATCTAGATACCAACTTCCAGACTTTCTGGGACTAACCTGTTGCCACATCATTTTGTTTTCACTTCCAGAAAAGACCAGGATGTTTAGCATATTGCTTGATCTAATTTAATTTGCCTTGTGAGTCATTTCAGCCTGGTAAATGTGCTAGTCTACATTAATTCTTTGCTGCTGGGTTTCTGCTCCAGGAGCAGAGAATGTCAGCTCTGAGCTGGCAGAAGGCTCCACTCCATCCCCTGCCTTCCCGGCATTTGCCTCCAGCCCTGACTCTAGGAAAAAGAAGAGGGTAAACCCAGTACCCTCATCCCCACCTGCACTCCTCGCCCTCCAGGAGCTTGCGGTAGGTGGCGATCTCCACGTCCAGGGCCAGCTTGACGTTCATGAGCTCCTGATAGTCCTTCAGCAGCCGGGCCAGGTCCTCCCTGGCCTTCTGCAGGGCCTCCTCCAGTTCGTTCAGCTTGTTCTGGGCATCTTTGATGGCATGTTCCCCACGCTGCTCAGCATCTGCTATGGCTTCTTGCACACTCTTGCACTAGGAAGAAGAAGAAGCTTCTGTTTGTATAGAGTGGAGTCTACCTGGCAGAGGGAGATGGACAGTGGAGATGCTTGGGGTATAAGAAGCCAGAATGACTGGCCCTGGAAGTGTTGGGTCCCCCCAGAAGTAATGCAAGTCACAAACAGCTAAGACTTGCTGCTTTCTCTAGGGCATCTTCTTCCCACATCATCTTTGACTAGACCCTTAATCTTTCCCCATGACACCCTTTCATGCTCACAACACAGGGCCAGAATCATTATTGCATTTAACAGATGTTAATGAAGACATTGGAAGTGGACTGCATTGCAGAACTGCTGCTGCTGGTGGAACTCTGGCTGCTGATTTCCCCTCGGTTTCTGCTCCAAATCTGATGTCCAAACCCAGGCCAACTTTTCTAACACGTGCTACCCTGCCATCAGCCCCATCAGCTGGCACTTAGGGCCCATGCCACACACAAAGGGGAAGCCACATCTACAATCCACAGCAAGTATTTGCTGTTGTTCTTTTCACTCATATAAACAAGCAAATGCAATCTTTTTCCATTACTTAAGAATGCCTCTGAGACCTCTCTAAAAATTGGTATAAGCCTTACATTGTATTAAGCATGGGAAGGTTGGGATTGATACTTGCTAGATTAAGCTTCCCAGTTTCTCCTGGCTCACACACACACACTCACACACGCCGGGACACAACCTTTCCCTCAGACTCCAGTGGAGCTGGGGGTCGCAGGGCCACACCTCACCTGCTTCTTCACGTGGGCAATCTCCCCTTGCAGCCTCTGGATCATGCGGTTCAGCTCACTGATCTCCATCTTGATCTCTCGCAGGGTGTCACCGTGTTTCCCCGCAGTGACCTGGAGCTCTTCATACTGATATGGGGAGAAGAGGACAGTTCACAAAGAAGTTATAGCCTGGTCCAAGTCCCAGCTTGAACTGAGCCAAGGAAAAGCTGGTCACTGGCCCAGGGAGGGTCAACCAGTCTGGAAGTCATGACTGTATTGGTGGAGGTGGGGATCCTTTCACCCCAGAAGGACTCAGTGCCATTCTTGAAATTCTTTCTTGGGAATGATACCCACTGCCATTAGACAAAAACACCCAGATTCTACTCTACACTTCCCAGCTGGGGGTGGGACCCAGCCTGTGGCACGGAGTGTGGCCCCCTGCATTGCGGAACATGCCTTGCTCTGGTACAGGGCCTCGGCCTCGGTCTTGCTCCTCTGGGCGATCTCCTCATACTGGGCCTTGACCTCGGCGATGATGCCGTTCAGATCCAGGTTGCGGCTGTTGTCCATGGAGAGGATGACGTTGGTGTCAGTAATAGTCTCATGCTTCTGGGACAGCTCCTATAACACAAAGGGAGGTCTGGCTGTGACATCCCTCCCCACAAGCTCAGGTTGCAAGGACACCCACTTCCTCAGTTAAGAGAATACAGACCCTCACACTAAGTGTACACTGACCCCCATTTGTATGTCTCCCCCACAGTTGTCCTGAGAGTAGTGGGCAGAGGTGCCTATATTTCTGAGCCTCCTTAGCAGCCTTCACCACTTAGGCTAATTATGTGCCTAAGTGCCCCCCAAAAGAAGCCAGTCCCTGCCAAATACCTTAAATTTATTTGTTCTTTCAGAAATCACATGTGTGTACCCGTGGGGGGGGAGGTGCCTGAGGTGGGAGACACTTACTTCTGAAGTATATTGTGCACAGGACAGGTCTCTTCCTAAGGGGAGCTAGACATTTGGGGGGGTGGAGGCAGGGAAAGTTGTCCTAAACCTTACTTCTTGTGACATCAGAGAAGAAAATTTCTCTTCCCCAAGACTGATGCCATAAACCCAGTGGCCGGGGATGACAGCAAGTTGAAGTCATCCAGTTCATAAGCTGCACTCCTACCACCTTCTCGCCAATTGGGAAGGACCCCCCTTGATGAAAAGAGGGTGGAAAGCAGGAGTCTGTCCAGGAGCAGCCTCCTTACCGCCTCAAAGAGGACTTTCAGGAACTCGGCCTCCTGACTCAGCACATCCACCTTGGTCTGCAGCTCCACCTTCGTCATGTAGGCATTGTCCACGTCCTGCAGGGAACACCAAAGGGCCTCTCGGGAAACTGACCCTCCCTCCACCACCACCTGGCACCTTCCCTGCATGGGTCCCACCCTCTCTCTGTCACTCTGCTCTACCCACTCCCTGTCTGCAGCCCTTCAACATCCCAGGCACCTCCAGGGGAACCACAGGACATGCAGCTTCCCACACACCTCTGCCAGTGGCTCTGTGCCCCCATCACACTCCCACCCCTGGGACCATCAGCACTGGATGGGACCCAGCTTTGCCCACCAGTCTCTCCCTCCTCCCTGAGACACAGTGTATTACCAGGATGGGGCACTACATTCTCTGTGAGTTTCCACAGTCCTCAACTCTCATCCTGTCTGTCCCACCTCTCTTGAGTTTTCCTGGATTCTACACCAAGGGCCTCACAGGAACCTAGGGTGAGGACCCCCACTTTTGACCTCCTAGCTCAAATCTTTATCAGCACAACCAACAGCAACTTTAAGCAGGCATTCTAGGGAATTCCTATTCCTTCCTTAGCTCTTTAGAAGAAAGTGCTTTCTGGGTTTGCATTTATTATGAGCCACGATAGGCTTTAAGCAGGTCATTGCTGAGCAGTGCTCTATCCAAAATGCAGAATGTCTTCAAAAGCTACGTGCAGAAGCCTGAACTACACAGATGCTTTTTGTTCCAGAGAGAACAGGCCCTAGACGCATCTCACCCCTTTCTCTCACTAGCCACTGCTGTTTGCACGGGGAGTTGTTTTCCAGCCTGTGTGTCTCCACCCCCAGCTGCGACATTCTCTTGCTCACCTTTTTAAGAGTCACAAAGTCATTCTCAGCAGACGTGCGCTTGTTGATCTCATCCTCATACCTGTCAGGACCCAGATGATACAGCAGTGAGATTAGTTCCAGTTTGTTTTTCTTTTCTTTTTCCTACTTTATTCACCCCAAATGCCTCATTCTCTGGGAATATGAAACCCTGTTTTAAGTGTCTAAATGGAAGTTATGATATCTCAAATGAGGATAGATTTCTATAAATGAACTCTCAAACAGGCAAAAAAAAAAAAAAAATCCTCTAAAGCCCTAATGTCATGCTCACAAATAATCAACAAAGATCCAGGACTCTCTCCCCCATCAGCACAAATGCAAATGGGAGGTGAGTGGCTTTGAGGGGGACGATGAGATGGCTCAGTTCAGTATCTCTCTGCACTCAGAGTTTACCCTGCCACCTACTTCTTCTTATAATCCTCCACAAGATCCTCCATGTTGTTCAACTCTGAATCTTGTGATGTTCTTTCCATAGACAGCCTGTCCACATATTTCTGGAGGCTGTCAATGTAGTCCTGGAAGATGGGGTCCAGGTTGGTGCTGCGGGTGCCGACATCCAGCTGCTGCAGCAGCTCCCACTTGGTGCTCAGAACCTGGTTCTGCTGCTCCAGGAACCGCACCTGCCATGATCAGAATGCAACCACGTAAGTGCTCAGTCATCCTTCATGCTGGCAAGCCACGCTCGCCACAGGCAGCTCTCGGTGCTACTTTGGGACCCAGAGAAGCCCACAAGGCTCCATCCTCATCAGCTGGGCACAGGATGGTGCCAGGCAGAGCTTTTGCACTCCCTGTCCTGGCATCTGGAAAGTCTATAGACTCCCACTGCTCCACAGGGAACAACTCTCTCTTAATTCAGTGCCTACTATTTTGTTTGCAGCTGCCCCCAGGATCCCAAGCCAATTCCCTCCCCAATTTTATTGAATTTCCGACAAGGATCCCATAAATTCAGGGGAAAACCAAAAGCCGGTATCCGCTGGCACTGCTCCCCTGCTGAGTATGAGAGAACTGGAGGGCTGGGCACCTCAGCCTGGTTTTAAAAGTCTTGTAAATTCCTGCCTGTTTCAAGGCAGATAAACTAAAACAGGTTCGTCTGCCTTGAAATGGGAGAAAGCCCAGTAACACTCCAATGTAACACCAATAAAGACTTTATGGATCACAGAACTGACAATGCTTCTCTTGAAGGCAGGAAATTCATTCACTCCCAAACAGATATTTTGACTAAGCTTCCCAGAATTTAACAGAGTAATAATTCTAGGGAAGGAAAGACTACTTCAGAAGATGTCCTGTGGCCTATATCCGCCTTTTAATGATCTTCAGAATTTTCTATAAATAGCATTTATTTGGATTACAACAATATAACCAAAGAGACAAATAATTCCTAACTGCAGACTGCTATGGAAACGCATCTTTCCCATTTGGAAATTACAAGTAACCCTGGCACCTAGAGGAAACGACTCCGCGCAGTCTTCTTTTCAATCAACACATGAAGTGAGGCATCCTGAGCGTCTGAAGACTCACCTTGTCGATGAAGGAGGCGAATTTGTTGTTGAGAGTTTTGATCTGCTCCCGCTCCTGAGACTTCACGTTCTGTATCTCTGGGTCGACTTTCACATTGAGAGGCTGCAGGAGGCTCTGGTTGACGGAGACTTCATGGATTCCTCCACCAGGGTATCCTCCAGGCCCGAAGCCACCGGGACCTCCGAACCCTCCATAGCCGCCACCGCCGCCACCGCCAAAGCGGCTGCCACCAAAGCCGCCACCACCAAAACTGCCACCTCCAAAACTGCCACCTCCAAAGCCACCGCCGCCTCCAAAGCCACTGCCACCTCCAAAGCCGCCTCCAAAGCCTCCTCCTCTGCCACCAAATCCACCACTCGAGCCAAAGCTTCCACCTCCTCCAGCCACACTAATGGAGATGCTCTTGCTCCCTCCAAGGCCAACAAGACTCCGACTGCTGAAGCCTCCGCCGCCGAAGCCCCCTCCACCACCGCCATGGCGGCTCAAGCAGGAGAAGCTGGAAGTGGATCTCCGGCTCCCACCGGAGACCACGGCGGAGCCGCTGCTGAAGCCCCGGAACCCTCCACCACCTCCTCCTCTTCCTCGAGATTTGCACGAGATCTGACAACTCATGATGCCTTTGCCCAGCGAGGAAAGTCAAAGGTTCCTGAGAAGAATCAAGGCTGGAGACTGCTCTGCTCCTGGGAGACTGTCAGGGCCCCCTATATACCCGCCACCTAGGTGTTGGCGTGCATGGGTGTGGGCCCACTTACGCTTGGGTTTGGTCTGCCTGGAAGCTATTCCTGGTGAGTGATTATCAAGCTAATAGCCATTAAAAACCTACTAATCAGCTCCATCCCAGAAATTGCTTTGATTGCAAATTTCTGTTTATCTGGGTATCTGTCACGCTATTTGATTTTTGTAAAATCATCAGAAGAGGAGATCAGGATTTGGTGTCCTCAGTCTGAAGGAGGACCTTTTGCAGAATGCTCTGGACCAACCCCCGGGAGGCTGGCCACCGGCCTGTGCAGTCTCTCCATCCCAGTTCACCAGTGAAAAGGAAGACAGGCTCGGGACTGTTACAGCCCCTTCTGCACCAGCCCTATAGCTCTCCTTGCTTTTCCTCTGCCCCAGGAAGAGTTTTAACAAGCACAGGGAGATTTTGCAGATGTGGGGAAATGGGCATCCTCTTACAGAAAGAAGTTGGCCTAGGATGTTGCAAAAGAGTTGTCATTTTCCAAAGTATCTTGGCTCTTTTCTTCTCAGGCTAGAGTAGAAATATGCAATAACCTGGCACTGAGAAGAGGACGTTCTTTCTTGTAACCAGAAGTTTTTCTACCCATCATCCCTGTCAGTTTTCTCATGAAAACCCAGAGGATGAGGGGTTAAGGTCTGTATAACTCAGGGTACCTAATGAAACGCTGCAGCCAAAGACTTTACATCCAGGTGTACATTGGCTCAGTCGGTGGGTAATCACGCACTGCCCAGCATCCTGTGAAGCAGTTAGGTCAGCTGATCTTCAATGGCAGGTGAACGTTGGAAGACCCAGCCAGACCCACCAGAGTCACCAAATGCACAGAGCTCTCACTCCTGAACTCAACTACATTCTCTCCTCTGTCCGGCTGGCTAAGTATGTGGGAGGTGTGCTTTGAAGTAAAAGAACTAAATTTAAAGTCAGAAGCTCTAGTTTTGAATTCCAGATTTGGCATAGATTGGCCATATGACCCCAAATTAAACTGAAGCTTTATAGTCTTAGCTATAAAATGGGAAATTTGTATGAAACTTTTTAAAAACTGTAATGCACAATGCAAATGTTAGTATCATTATCATCTGTGGTGAGATAAAGATCATTCTTTTTCCTTTCGCCTTTGGTTTTTCTCTCTCCTAATGACTGACCACACACTCAACACAGGCACCGTTCATTACAGAACCAGGATGTTCAGATCTTGGGACAAAGTTAGCACAGAAAATATAAAAAGCATAAGCTTTGGGGCAGTGCTCGTGTCTCAAAGGGGTAGGGCGCTGGCCCCATATGCCGAAGGTGGCAGGTTCAAACCCTGCCACCCAGGTTCAAACCCCGGCCAAAAACTACAAAAAAAAAAGCATAAGCTTTGAGCTTAAGTCCCAATTTCATTGTGTTTTAGTTAAATGACCTTGGATAATTTATAGTACTCTTTGAATCTCAGTTTCCTCATTAATAAAAAGTGATTAAGAATAAGAAAAATATTGGTATTGTACAAACAGAACAAGATAATATACTCCAGGCGCTAAACACGGGTCCTACCTAATAGCAGAAACTCAGTAAATGTTAGTTACCTTCCTGCCATATCCACCAAGTTTCCAATCATCTGATCTATCTACATGGCAGGGGAATGTATGGGTGTAAAGAATAGGGAACTACATTAGCTATTTGATTTGCAGAAAAAATAAAAAAAGGCTGAGAGAAGCAAATCCCTGTATCTCCTTGATTTTTTTTCCCCAATCTTGCTTACATGATTATAATCATGCAAACAAATGATAAAGCTAAAAGCTTTGGAAAGAGTCTCAGTCCAAAGCCAAGTGTGTCGTTATCTGTGGATATCTGAGCGACGCCCTAATTGTCCATTACTCCACCATGACTGTGCTGAGGACATGCCAGCTTCTGGGGAGGAGGGGGGTCTTAATCCCTCTATAAAGGAATGGAATAACATTTACTGAACATCTACCACATCCTGGGATATGTCCACCACTCAATCTGTGTGTGTTACTTCGTTTTAATTCTATCACATTTGGTCTCTCTCTCCACTGAACATCTTCCCTCTCTAGACCCAGTTGCCAATTTTTGAAAGTCAAGTTGTAAAGGAGTCCTCCTAATCTCTTTAAATATGGAGAGCAGAATTAAAGCAATTTGGATATTATGTAACTTATCTATTTCCATTTTTTTATTTTTACCTTTTACATAATCTCAACATGCTATTCTAGATCATATGCTTTGCATTCTTTAAGGGAGTGAAATGCTGATTAACAATCTTGATTTGACTGTGATTTTCCCACTAACCTTCATCATGGTCCTCAACTTTCTCATCTATAAAATGGGAACATTTATTCTGAATCTTCACTGTCCCTCAAGGATGTTGACCTGTTGGTGTTTTGCTGTGTCTAAGTGCAGAACAGGGATCCTATAGAACAAAACCCTTCTTCATGCTCCCCACATTTTCTTTCAACAAGGTGGCAGCAAGCCCAAGATCCTAAGTGCTTCTCCTCATAGGTTTTCAAAACCATATCCAGTAGCCAGTTGGGCAGAAAAATGAACTCCCAACATTAAGCAGAGAAAAAGATTAACTATTTAGTTAATAGGAAATAAATTAAACTCTCAACCAAACCTGGATGCCAGCCCCAGATTCCCAGATTAGAGTTAATTTCCTCCTCTCCCTTAGCGGCTGTCTACCGCTCTTGCAGCCTCATCGTCACTGTCCTCCCTGTGTTGTAATGAGTCATGTCCCCCCATGTATGCCGGGCAGAGTCAGGGTCCTATTATCTTTACCCCAACCCTCCATCCCCTCAGCACAGAGTGGTTGTTCAGGGAATAAACCTACATGCCAAAAATCATTTCTACTTTTCTTGGTTTGGAATTGCAGATTTTTCCAGATGCGTGAATGCGATGTTAGCTATGCCCTGAATCTTTGCAGCCTTTCATGTGCCTGTGTCCATAAGATCCCACTGGAAGAGCTGTCTGATCCCACTAGAAAGTTTCTGCCCAACCCTAACCAGGTCTCTCTCCTTCCCAAAGACCAGCATACCAGCTGGACAGAGCCACCGTGTGTGCCAAGAGTTTGGGTTTTAAAACACAAAACCAAACAAACCCCAAACTCTCCTCTTCCAGCCCCTCTTGCTGGGCTTAGGCTACTGAAGGGATCCAACCCACAGGGAGGCCATGAGTGTCAAAAAAGAAGTTCAAAAAGCAGAGAGGCTGGGAGTAGCTCAGCACAGCAGAAGCCCCACTGGAACCTGGCTCTTGAACGGCGGGCCAATTCTGGGTGCCTCCCATTGGAGTGCCAAGGTGCTGCTCTGAGGAGCTCCACAGCCCTAGTGGCGCCCAGAGAAGGTGGGACAGGAGGCTCCCAGGCTCCCAGTAGGAGTCCCTTGCTCAACATCTCCCTCCAGGGCATCTCTTTGTAAATGATTATTTTAAAGCTACTTACTCAGTCTACAGTCCCAGCCCCTGACCCAGTTCTCCACCTCAGCCCTTGCTTCCCTCCTTTCTTACTCAACATCTGCACTTTAGTAGGATTTTTTTTTTTCAATCGACCCCTTTTCTTACACAGGAGACCTGTTGATTTTAATGTGCCCTGGCCAAACTGGTTGGGACCATGAAACCAGTCTGGCAGGCAGCCAAGTCCACCCTCAGGAAGAAGCACTGAACGTTCCCACCATGCAGAGCCCCATTCTGGAATGAGGTGATTCCAGAACATACATACCAGGCTTATCAAGAAAGCAGGGAGTGCCCGTTGCTCAGAAACAACCAGACCCCAGAAGCAGAGGAGGGACTCAGGCCCAGCACCCAGCAGGGGCTTCATGCATATCGGCTGTGGGAAGGCAGCAACCCAGCTCTCTGTGATAAACAAATCAGCCACAGCAAGAGACTCCAGCACAGCCCCTGGCACATAGCAAATACCAGACAGATGCCACTTCTTTCCCATTGCCGTGGCCTTAAGTGTCACATGTAGTTCTAATTATCTAACTGAGCCCCAGAAGATTTGATCCAGAAAATAGATTATTGCACATTCCAGCTTTTGTTCTCAATGGGCTCAATCTCCAGCTGAAAATGGCCAGGTGTTGTGGCAGGCGCCTATAGTCCCAGCTACTTGGGAGGCTGAGGCGAAAGAATCGCTTAAGCCCAAGAGCTTGAGGTTGCTGTGAGCTCTGGTGCCATAGTACTCTACAAAGGGCAACAAAGTGAGGCTCTATCTCAAAAAAAAAAAAAAAATCTCCAGCTGAATCAGCTCAGCTTCACATCACAGACTGTATAACTGCTGTCTGGTTAATGACACCAGGTGACTTTGCTTGTGTGTCCCCACCTACATGTCTTAATTCACACAGAGAAGGCCACAGCTTTCTCTGTCAGAGAGACAGAGGCAGCTGTCAAATATCCCCTCCCATCCCAGTTGTGATTTCAGAAGAATGGAGTCACCAGGATTCTACCACCCACTCATTCCTCACGACTCAGGGCCTTCTCCAGGTTTCTCCAGATTTAATGGTGCCCCCTTCTCTTGCAACCCCTCAATCTCGGGGAGCCTTCCTACCAATTTTATATTGTGCTGCTGCCATTGGCAGCTATAATTCACTTTCAGGGCTTCTGCCTAGACACCTAGATTTCCTCAGCAGCAGCCTGCACCAGGCACACACACGGACCCCCCGGACACACCCAGCCCCCGCCTCACCCACTACACCACTTGCAGCAGCCCCCACACCCTTGTGATCTCTTTAACTTCTTTTGAGGCTTTCTGAGTTGGGTGGGCTGGGGATAATTGGAGGAGGAGAAAGGTGGGGAAATATCCAACCCCCAAAAAGAGAGACAGAATAAGTATGAAAACAAATTGCATTTTAAAAGATCAAATTCAGGAGATTCCTGCTCCTCAGTCTGGGAACCAAGT